GATTGAAGGCATTGAAAATCTGATTCTGCGGCGGAAAAATTTTAACACCCTACAAACTGTTAAAACTCGTTTGATTTTTTTATTTTATCTCCATAATATCGAGGATAGACCAGGAGAGAGAGGCCGAGGGAAGTCCCGATGAGAAGGACCTGATCTCGCTGGGCTTAGCTCAGCACAAAGACGAAGTACCTGCCTAATGCTGGTAAAAGAAACCAACACAGAACCATAGGAGTTTTCAAAGAATGGAAAAATTAGCGGGGGCTGTGAAATACGGGATATCAATTCCAAACAACTGGCCAACGCACGGGCTGCCCGTGCGAAGATGCGTTTTCTGCAGAGTTTCCCGCAGTTTTTGTCGCAACTGGCATCGGCTTTTTCGGCACGTGTTTCTAGCTAAACAAATTAAGACTGGCCGTCAGAACTGGCAGAAAACATCCCCCTTAAAATTTCAACTTTCTAGTTTTCCTGGCTCCTGAGTTAGCAACTTACTGGAAAAAAACTTTAACAGCCCCGCACGCGGGTATCACGCATACCCGATGCCTGAGTTTTAGCTCGTTGAGACTTACTTGGACGGAGAACATCTTCTTAAAACTACAGTCTTTTAGCTTTTCAGGTTCTCGAGTTACGTAATTACCCGAAGAAAACTTTGGTGAAACCGTACATAGGTACCACGCATGACCGAGGGCTGTGTTTGAGCTCGTTGAGACTAGTGTGGACGGGGAACATCCTCTTAAGATCTCAGCTTTCTAGCATCTCAGATCCCAGAGTTATGAACTCACCCGGGAAAATTTTTAGTGGACCCGTATGCGGGCACCACACCCGGGGGCTGGGTTTGAGCTCATTAATACCCACTTGGACGGGGAACATCCCTTAAAATTTCAGCTTTCTAGCATCCCAGATTCCCGAGTTATGAACTTACCCGGGAAAAATTTTGGCCGGCCCGTACGCAGGTACCACACTTAATCGGGGGCTGGGTTTGCGCTCATTGATACCTACTTGGACGGGGAACATCCCCTTAAAATTTCAGCCTTCTGGCTTTTCTGGTTCGCGAGTTATCAACTTACTCGGAAAAAATTTTGGCGGACTCTTACGTGATTACCACGCGGGTAAGACCGCCCATTTCGAGGATGGGGGCCCGTACGTGCATGTAGATTATGTTCTTAAAGTTTCAGCCCTGTAGCTTTTGTCGGTCTCGAGATGAAAAATCGGTAGAGGCGGACACACAGACACAAACACAGACAATCCCTCGTCAATATGCGTTTTCTGCACTGCATAGCTGCAAAAAAAGCATAAAAAATGACATTTTACCAAACGTGAGAAGCGGCGTACCTTTGCCTTCTCAGCTTGTAAAAATTTAACGATTTTATCCATGTATTCTTTACGGAACTCAAAAGTTAGCACTCGTCGCCAGCTAACATCTTCAAGAAGGCTTCGCAAATACTCTGCTGAATCTTTCGGTGCTGAGAGTGCATCGGTTTTCACTGCAACTGCAAAACGCAGCATTCATTATTCAAACTTAGCAAGCAGATGGCAAGGCACCTCAAAATGGCTTCGAGATAAGACAGTAATACTTAGCACATGTAGCTGGACTTCCACATGCCTAAAGCGCTGTAAAAATACTTCTGCCGAAAGCAACGCTGAGTCGGCATTCCCTCAGAAGACGAAACGAACGTCAGGACCGCCAGAATACTGATCATCAGGCGATGCAACATA